AGAGTGTGTCTCATGTGGTGCCCCTCTTCCTGGACGGAGAGGTCTCCTTCTTGCCCCAGAACAGTTTTCCCTGCTTGTTCCAGCCCTTCGAGGTAGGTTGGGTGCTGTGGGCTGGGAGGCAGGAAATGAGGCTGCACAGGCTGGCAGAAAGGACCACGATGACACGGGCCCTGTTCTTCCCCTGCAGAATGGGGAGTGCTTGGAGGCACAGAGACGCCTGGTTGCCCTCCTCATGGCCTTTGTCTGCTCCTTGCCCCGCAATGTAAGTTGGTGGGGAGCAGGATGGAGAGGAGCCCTGACTGAGGGGCCTCCTGCCTGGGTCCACAGCAAGCCCCAGGGGCAGAGGAAGGGAGCAGTCGCAGCCCCAGGCTGTACCACGCTCTGTGTCTCTTCCAGGTGGCAATTCCTCAGCAGGATCGGCTGCTCCGGGAGCTGCTGGCCTTGAGCTGCTCCTGCAACTGCCCCTTCACGGCTACCACAGCTGCCAAGTGCTTTGCAGGGCTGGTCAACAAGCACGTGGAAGGTAAGGGGGCTGGGCAGGACACCGTGGGTCCCTGGCCACTGCTGGCAGAGGAGTGGCTCAGCCTGTCCCTTCCCTGTCCCCAGGACAGCAGCTGGATGAGATCCTGCAGCTGGCAGTGAACAGGATGGAGCCCAGCCTCGCGGAGGGGTCCCGCAGGACGCAGGCGCTCACCCTGCTGCTCTGGGTAAGGCCCACCCTGGGCACAGGACGGGGGGAGGGACACGGGAGGGGGGTGCTGCCCTGTCACTGACTCTGCTCTGCCCACACAGGTGACCAAAGCCCTGGTGCTGCGCTACCACCCCCTGAGCTCCCGACTGACGGACAAGGTGGGCAGTGGTGGGGCTGGGTGACGGCGGAGGAGCCCGTCCGCAGCCAGGGGGGCACCCCCGGTGGGCAGGGCCCCCCGTCTCAGGGCTCTCTCCCTCGCAGCTGCTGGCCCTGCTGAGCGACGCAGAGCTGGGCCCTGCCGCGGCCGACGGCTTCTCCCTGCTGATGGCCGAGTCCCCGGACGTGCTGCACAAGGGCTGCCACGCCGACCTGCGCATCATGTTCCGCCAGCGCTTCTTCACCGACAACGTCCCCAAGCTGGTGCAGGGCTTCCACGGGGCTGGCCCCGGTGAGCGGCCACCTCCAGCCCGGCCTCGCCACCCTGGCATCCCCTTACCCCGGGAACCCGAGCCGGCACCCCCTCCTTCCCCTGGCTTCCTGTAACTGCCTCTGCTCCCCACAGATGTGAAGGCCAATTACCTGAAGGGCCTGTCCCACGTGCTCAACCACCTCCCCAAGCCCGTGCTGGTGACGGAGCTGCCCACGGTGAGAGCCAGCCTTGGCCAGGGGGAAGGGCAACGGAGCTGGGGAGGGGTCTGGAGAAGAAGTCTGATGAGGAGAGGCTGAGGGAGCTGGGGGGGTTCAGCCTGGAGAAAAGGAGGCTGAGGGGAGACCTTCTGGCTCTTTCCAACTCCCTGAAAGGAGGGTGTAGCCAGGGGGGGTCGGTCTCTGCTCCCAAGTCACAGGCCATGGGACAAGAGGAAATGGCCTCCAGTTGCACCAGGGGAGGTTCAGATTGGAGATTGGGAACAATTTTTCCATGGAAAGGGTTCTTAAACCTTGGACTGGGCTGCCCAGGGCAGGGGTTGAGGCCCCATCCCTGGAGGGATTTCAAAGCCGGGTTGCCATAGTGCTTAGAGCCATGGGTTAGTGATGGTTTTTACCAATTAGGTTGATGGTTGGACTAGATGATCTGAAAGGTCCCTTCCAACCCAACCCCCTCCTTCCCCTGGCTTCCTGTAACTGCCTCTGCTCCCCACAGATGTGAAGGCCAATTACCTGAAGGGCCTGTCCCACGTGCTCAACCACCTCCCCAAGCCCGTGCTGGTGACGGAGCTGCCCACGGTGAGAGCCAGCCTTGGCCAGGGGGAAGGGCAACGGAGCTGGGGAGGGGTCTGGAGAAGAAGTCTGATGAGGAGAGGCTGAGGGAGCTGGGGGGGTTCAGCCTGGAGAAAAGGAGGCTGAGGGGAGACCTTCTGGCTCTTTCCAACTCCCTGAAAGGAGGGTGTAGCCAGGGGGGGTCGGTCTCTGCTCCCAAGTCACAGGCCATGGGACAAGAGGAAATGGCCTCCAGTTGCACCAGGGGAGGTTCAGATTGGAGATTGGGAACAATTTTTCCATGGAAAGGGTTCTTAAACCTTGGACTGGGCTGCCCAGGGCAGGGGTTGAGGCCCCATCCCTGGAGGGATTTCAAAGCCGGGTTGCCATAGTGCTTAGAGCCATGGGTTAGTGATGGTTTGTATCAGAGTTAGGGTGATGGTTGGACTCGATGATCTGAAAGGTCCCTTCCAACCCAGACAATTGTACAATTCTGGGTTGTGGCAGTGTAGAGTGCACGGCTGAGAGTTACTCATGTCTCCTGTGTCCTCCCCACCCACAGCTGCTTTCCCTCCTGCTCGAGGGCAGACAATTCTGTGATTCCATGATTGTGGCAGTGCAGAGCACACAGCTGAGAGTGACTCATGTCTCCTGTGTCCTCCTCACCCACAGCTGCTTTCCCTCCTGCTCGAGGCCTTGTCCTGCTCGGACCGCGTGGTGCAGCTCTCCACGCTGAGCTGCCTCCAGCCGCTGCTGCTCGAAGCTCCCCAGATCATGAGCCTGCACATCGACACACTGGTCACCAAGTTCCTCAGCCTCACCTCCAGCCCCACCATGGTGCGTGTGCCCCCTCCTTCCCCCCCAACACCCCTCTCTTCTGCCCCTTCCGCTGCCCTCACCCCTCTCTGTTCCAGGCTGTCCGCATCGCCGCCCTGCGCTGTGCCCACGCGCTCACCAGCCTGCCCACAACAGTGGTGAGTGCTCCTGCACCCGCCTGCTCCTGCACCTAGAGGGGCAAGGGGGTCCCAAACATCCTCCTGGGGGGCAGCCAGCACCCAGCTCTCTCACCAAGAGACTTTTTCATCCTACAGCTGCTCCCGTACAAGGCTCGGGTTATCCGAGCACTGGCCAAGCCTTTGGATGACAAGAAGAGGCTGGTGCGGAAGGAGGCGGTAGCGGCGCGGGGGGAATGGTGAGTGTGTGTGGCTGGAGCTGCTGCAGCACTGCCACGCTGGGGGACACGGCTGATAGCACCATCTCTGTCCCCGCAGGTTTCTGCTGGGGAGCCCGGGCAGGTGAGCGCCCTGCGTCCCCTCCCTGCGCTGACCGACAATCTGACCAGCCCCCACCAAGCCATCCCCTGCTGCCACGGACCCTGGGAGCCCAGCACTGCCCCCGGGGCTGGGGCTGGAGCGGGGGGGCCGGCAGGGAGCACCCCTGGCTGCGGCACCTTCCCCACACACACACCCCCTTCCCGGCAGCCCCCGCCGGGGGGAAGGAGCTGTGCTGCTGGTGGCCTGTCCAGCCTCTGCTGCAGCCGGGGACAGTGATGGACAGACTCGCCACGTGTGCGTGGAGAGAGCAGGCCTGTGCACACACGTATGGTGTGTGGCAACCCACGCGCCAGAGGAATAAATCTATCTGTTTTGGTAATGACGTGGGAGTCTCCACGCAGCTCCGGCTGGGAGCCCAGTGCCCTTCCGTGTGTTGGGTAGCTAAAGGTGCTGCTGTTTCCAGGCCCTTACTTCTCCTGCTACATTTGGGCATCAGAAGTTTGCACTTCCCACCAGGGAATCAGGGAATTGTCAGAGTTGGAAGGGACCTCTAGAGACCCTCCAGTCCAACCCCCCGGCCAAAGCAGGGCTGCCCAGAGCACATCACTCAGGAGCATCCAGGCGGGGCTTGAAGATCTCCAGAGAAGGGGACTCCACACCCTCCCTGGGCAGCCTCTGCCAGGGCTCTGCCACCCTCACCCCAAACAAGTTCTTCCTCCCATTGGAGTGGAACTTCCCATGGTCCAGCTTGTGCCCGTTGCCCCTCGTCTTGTCCCTGGGAACCACTGGGAAGAGTCCGGCTCCATCCTCCTTCAACCCCCCGTTTAGAGACTTGTCAGCATGAAGAAGGTCTCCCCTCAGCCTTCTCTTCTCCAGGCTCAAGAGCCCCAGCTCTCTCAGCCTTTC